TCTTTGGGAGTACAATGAAACCCCATCCCTACAAGCTCTGTGCAGTTCTTTGCTAGGTTGCAGAGGATTACAGATCTGAGAAAGACATGTTGACACAGGTTTGCTAGTGCCCTGATCTTCTGTGCAGCTTTTATGTTGTTCATTCCTAGCTCAAATTCAGTGTGAATCTGTCCTTGTTGTGTTACGTGTCTAAGTAGCCAGCCCTGAAAAATACTCTGGTTTTCCTGTGTCTGGAAATTCTCTGTACATTTTTTTCCCCCTGTTGTATTACAAATTAAATAAACATGGAAAATTATGGTGTTTAGTCTTACTCGAAACTCAACAGGAATTTTACTGGAGGGAGAAGGAACATTAAATCCAGGTGCTGGGGGTCTTCCTCTCATGCCCACGCATTCTCAAATTTGGAGTGAGGTATGGAAATGCTCTTCCCGGAGGTATGGTTGAATGGGAGAACAGAGTTGTGGAGGGATGCTTCAACTAGGTATGAGACTTTGTCTGGCTGTTTGTCTCATGTTATGCTGGTGCATTTGAGGCATTTCCATCAGAGTGAGTCCTCTCGCACAGCGAGGTCTGTATTGCTGTGCACAGCGGTCCAGGTTGGCCATGTCTCTCTATCGATGCCTGAAAGCACAGTTAAGGGCACTGCTTGCAGCCTTGTGAAGCAAAGCTTGGCTCCTGCATAGGAGAGATGGGACAAGAGAAATTTATGTGGTGTTTGCTGGGAGCTGTGTGGGAACCAAACTTCTTGAGAGTTTTCCATGAGCACGAGGGCAGCTGCATGCAGCCTTGCAGCAGCTGAGCTGAGGGAGACACAGCAGAGCTGCTGCGTTAGGAGTGCCTGTTGGTAAAGCGTGCACATTGGGGGAAGAGCTGTGTGAGGTGCAGCTGGCAGAAGCAGAACCAGTGCCCAAGAGCAAGTGCCAGGAACCACTCGTGCTGTGAGGATGTCCTTGTCACCCAGCAAGAGTTAAAAATCGAGGCCAAAGGAAGGGCTTTGAGTGTGTGTTGCAAACAAATGCTCTGCTGCTCTACCAGTTTTCTTCCTTGAGGAGAAGACTTAACAATCGTTATTGCAATTATACTTCAAGGATTAGTTGTCATTGCCTTGTTTAATCACCATGTTAGAGTTTTCCTTCTTTAATGTAATGCAGTTGGTTAAAAAACCCTCATTTTTGTGAAGGAGCTCAGTATCAGAAGGCTCAGTGCTCTTTCCTCTGGGTAGGGGCTCATGTGGATGGCACTGGCTGCTGCTGCAGCTCCTCAGAGCCTGGCAGAAGAGGAGGGTAAGCTCAAACAGATCAGGCTGATGAGGCTCTCCTGCTCTCTAAGCTGTATCCAGCTCTGCGATGCTGTGTTGTGTTGATGTAAATCCTATTGGAAGTGCAGGGTGGGTTGTGCGCTACTGCAAAACTAGGGTGCAGTTTTTCTGCTGATATAAAGATGGTGTTGAAAACATGGATATGTTGAGATGATTGGGTAACTTGTGTCTGCTGTGTTGACATGAATGTCTCTGGCATCTTTATGAATACAGGATGTGGAAGAGACTCAGAAAGAGGTGAGGTTTGGGAACAGGCACACAAGATTTATTGCTTTAAAACTTTTTTCACTTAAAGTCTCTTAAAAAAATAACCAATGGAGGTGCAGGTCCTTTTACAAATTTGTACAAGGCACTTCTATCTCCATTGGGTTTTTTTTTTCCAAGAGATTAAGGGGAAAAAAAAGTTTTTCTATGTTGCTGAATAGCAGTTATGTATCTGCATTTCTTTAATCATCTTTCACCACACCTGAGAGGTCGCCTGTGGAGCCATTGGGGTGTGGAGGCCACAGGTGAAGGCTGCTGGGGTGGATTGCATAATTTCTGCTGTTAGTAGCTCGATATCGGAATTTAATTTCCCAAACAGGAAGGTAAAAGCTGTGGTAGGCAAAAGGAAACGTGGTCAATTAAAGCAAGGAACCAATTGGCACTGGGAGAGTTAACCTTTCAGCTAACCTTTCACAGACCAGATAACCTCTGTGTTTTTAAATAGAGCTCTTGAGCTGTTTGAGACTTTTGCTCTGCAGTCTTAATGGGACAGACTTCTGTAAGGGATATTTTGTGCCCGTCCCTGATTGCCTGGTACAATGTGCTGTGGCTCTCTCATTCCTAATCTCTGTCCCAAGCAGTACTGAGCTGTCAGACCACTGTTACCATGCCCAGTGTTTTAAAAACTGATATTCAGACCTCTGGTTCCCAAACTGATGTCCATGCAGTCAGTACTGTTCCTAAGTGCAAAGCGACTGCTCTTTTACAGTGTTTGTAATGCTGCAAAATGGTCAAGAAGAAGAGAAAACGTACCTCAAATTTAACAACAAACAAGAAGGTGAAGAGAAATCAGTGTAAGAAAAATAAGAAATTTGTAGAAAAGGGTGAAATTGCTTGTTGGGGTGACCTGCCAATGTGGGATGGTGCAATGGTCCTGGTCCTGCCTTTCATATCCAAAAAGTCAGCAAGCAGTGAACATTGTGTGAGATTTTTTTCTTCCAAGCTTGGTCCAGCTCTATCTGGTAAAGTTTTACATTCCTTATAAAAGAACAAGATTAAGGAGCCTAAAAAATATGTATCAATAAATGGCTATAACATCTGCAATTCTTTTGTCAGAACCAGATCAATGCTGCAGTCTGACCCTGATGTACGAGCTGGAAACAAACCCTGCTGCTGCTTCTGACTTGTCCACCCCAAGAAGCCTCTTGACCAGTGTGCTGTGATAGAGCTTTTCTGCCGACGGGATGGTCCTGCACCTCGCAAAGGCATAAACCAACAAATATCTGGTACCGTGAACCTGTCCTCAGGAGGAATTTCATCAGTGCAGCACCATCGGCTGCTCAAAGGTTTTTTTCACATCTCAAACCAGTGGAGCTAAGTCAGCAAAGTTGTAAGAACTGGCTTGCCTTGTGTTCGTACCAACAAATCGGTGTTCAGACATTTCAATGTGCTACGAGTTGAAACTCGTCTTAACTTTAATAAAGTACAACGTGGGAAGGATTGAAGGGCTTTCGTAAACGTCTAATCAGAGTATTTAAAAAAATCATTATAATTAACTTTAATCTGGTAATCAAAGGGATTTAAGTTTTCATGTGCAGTTGAACAACCCACCATGGTATTTTTGAGAACACCATGTTCTTTAATAATTATTGGTTTGTGATTTAAATATTGCCTGTATTATTACAATATCAGTATGGTATTTATTAATTTACCCATTTAAACATCTTGATTTTGTTTGTATATGAAGCCAACTGCAGGACAGATGGACAGTATATATTGGTACCGTTACTGAGAAGTTTGCATACACAGGTATTGTACTTTCAGTGTCACAGCTGGATTTTCAGGTTTCTTTGCAAGGAAGAGCGAATTTACCGGAAACACAAATGTGAGCATGTTCTCAGGCTAACTAACAAGTGTGCAATGCTGTATAGCAAGTCCTGTGAATGGGTGTAGACTTAATTCATACTTCTCTGTCTTTTGGCTGCTGGACACCTTCATCTCGGTCGGACTCCCTCCGACCCCCAGCTGTTAATTGTTAAACAATAGATACTATTTTTATTATTATTGCTGGGAAATTTATTACTATTGCTGGGAAATATATTGAAGTAAATGTTGGGGATTTGTGGTGTTAGGTGAAGAGGTAAGATCCATTTTTGTTTGTCTTCCTGTGTCCTTCCTGCATTTTCTGTTCCTTTCTGCTTGTTTAAATTAACCCACCTTGATGTCAGAGCAGTCTGCTGTGAAGAGTTCAAGTACTGCAAGACATCAGTGCCTCAAAACACGATTCCTTGTGCTCTCAAATGAGCACCTGAAGTTGGCACACGTTTGTGACAGCATTTACTGTAGTTGTTTATACCTCATTTTCTCATCTTTTCTTTATTTGTGTGTGCTGTTTTCCAGCCCTGTTTGTCTGCTATTTCTGCTCTTAGCAAGGCTGCAGCTCGTGGCTGTCTTGTGCCTTGGAGCTCCTGACGACGTTTGCCTTCCCTGGGCTGTGAGAGCACCAAAGTCTCCTCCAGACAAGGACTGGTCTGTGGGCAGTTCGAGAAGGTTGATCTTCTCGAGACTGGCTCCGAGATGGGGTGAGTGATCAGTGTTGTACAAAACTAAAGATGTCTGTGCCTAGGGAAACCCTTTTTGGTCCCTTCCCACCATGGCCAGGAGAAGGCTGCTCTGATCCTGGGCAGGGACCTCTGCTCTCACCAAGGGCTGCCGTGAATCTGGTACTGGAGACTGTCTCCCAGTATGTCTCCCAAAGTTATGGGAGGTGTTTGCCCCCTTTAAGAGTTAAGTTCTGTTTGCATGTGTCTGCTGCCTTATTTCTTCTTAGCTGTTGATGCTCATCCCTGTCGCATGGTGTCTAAGATGTGCTTTCCTAACATGACTCTTTGGGCAGGTGAGATAGGGAAAACATTCTAAGACATTTTCATTAGCTTGGCTGAGTTCCCTCTCTAGCACTTGCCTGGCAGGCACCCTCACAGCAATGTGCTTTGTGGGTGGGAGGTGGGGATTATTCCTGATACTGAATTTGAGGCATGGAACATAAGTAATGGGGTGCAGACAAGCTGCTAGGTAGGGCACAGGCTGCAGTGCATTTCAGTTCAAATACCTACATAGGGGGCCAATGGATCCCTTTCTGTGAGAGCTGGAAGGAAGGCGTGAAAGGAGGATGGGCCAGCAGCTCTCCTGGGGAGAGGGAAAGGAGGAGGATTCACTAGTAAGGTAATTAATAATAATAATAATAATGACAACAACAACAACTATAACTGGTAACCTTTCTGTCCTGCTGAGTTGTCAGCCAGCTCTAGCCCCTGGGATGGGGATGTGAAGTGATAGAGGGAAGGACTGAGAGCACAGAATCTTCAACATCATCTTCTCTCTGCAGGGAGGTGCCCCGCAAAACAAGATAAAGTGGATCCATCCTCTGTCTGTACAGCGATTTTTCAGAGACAACGTAGCCTCGTCAATCACAAGTGAAATGTTAACGGCGAGCGTGGCGCTGGTGCTTTTTGTGGTGTCTCTGCTGTTTATGCAGTTCCTGAAACTGCAGTGGATGCGAAGACGATTTCCTCCTGGACCAACTCCGTACCCTTTCTTTGGAAATCTGCTGCAGATGAACTTCCAGGTTCACCATGAGGTCCTTAGAAAAGTACGTGTTCTCGGGCAGTTAACTGATGCACTCATAAACTGATTTAAAGTGACTGTGAGTGTTTAACATCATAGTCTTATTTTGAATGTTAGAAAGGGTTTATTCTAAATTGCATAAATGTGAAAATAAGTGGGGATCACGAAATATCTGTTTCTTGGTATGAAAACTTCCAGCTTACTATGAAATATTTCATTAATACCTTATGTGCAGAGTTTATGAACAAAACAATACTGATGAATAACATTCCTGATTTACACTTAGGAAAAAGATAAATTTTAAAGCAGAGTCTAATTCTGAGCAGTCTGTTGCACGTCTGTGTGTTGACTGCTGTTGCACTGGCAGTTTCTAAATATCCATGAGATAGCTACTGAGTGTATATGTGTTTCCAGTATAGAAAGGATGAATTTTTTTATACTTATTCAACTGATTTTTCAAAAATTCTTGGAATACATCTAATTCTGACATACAATTTAGTTAAATTTTCACAAGAGACTTCAGTCTGCTGAGCCTGATTGAGAGTGTAAGTAGCTGGACTAATTAGTTGTGTGCCCTTGCTCAGTCTCTCCTCTAAGTGAAGTTGTAATGCACAGCACTTCTAGAATTTGTATCCTAGTGTTTTATATTCCTCATATGTATATATTAGATATTTAAATATATAACTCATAGCACCTCATTTCACTCTTTGTTCTCAACCTTCCTTCTCCCCAGTTCCTCTCTGTTTGATGCTCTCTTCTCCTGAGCTGCATGTTTCAAGGCAAAGTATGACTGCACGACATAAAATTATAGCCAGTGCATGTCTGTTGTATTTTCTTCTATTTCTGACCTCCCAAACTTGAAGAGTGGTGTTGTTTATCCCAAGATTTCAAAAGCCATGAATTAGTCCTTCTGAAAAAAATGAAATTGAACACAAATGTGCAAGTGCAAGTGTATAAATTTTTGTAATATCTGTTTCCTCTTGTTTGCTTCCAGGTAGCAGAATTATCTACTCCTCTGGTCCTGCAGCTCTTGGGATGTTTTGCTCTCTGCTTTGTTTTACTTCTCTCAACCTTTTACTTTTCCAGCTCCCGATTCTGCAGGCAGGGAAAGGCCGGTCCTGCCCACTCCTGGTGATGTCTGTGGGTCTGGGTGCCTGCACTGTGGCCACAGGGCTGTGACAGCTGAGCTAGAGAGGAGAGGGTGGTGGTTCCTCCTCAGCTGCTGTTGCTAGACTTAATGCACCAAGGGGAATCTGTAGATGGCTCATGTAAAACTCATGAGCCAATATTTTCTTCTTACGAACAGGTCCATCTGCAATGAGTTTTTAATTATAAGACGTGCGATAACATCACAGATGTTGGCAATATTTGATGACATTTTAGGAACATGTTGATCCTCAGTGAGTGAGACTTTAGATAGAAACCTTACTTAGAGCTAAATCAGTGTAAGAACACATTTGATGCTCTCTTCTGAAGGTCAATCCCGCCTGGGGCATCTGCCAAGGGAAAAGATCTGGTTCTTGTTTGATTTAAAGGTGCTGCTTCTCACCCATGCTCTGATGCTGCTTTGTTCTACAGATGGCCAAAATTCACGGTAACATCTTCACTTTATGGCTCACAAACGTGCCTGTAGTCTTCCTGCAAGGGTTTCAGGCGGTGAAGGAAGGTCTGACTGCCCACGCTGAAGACGTCACTGGAAGGCCAATACGCAGCAGCTTCCAGATTTTGACTCATGGAAATGGTAATTATTATTTTTCACGTGTTTTTTTCATCTGTTCTAACCCTGGTTTTGGAAACTGACTTAAAGCCTTGAAGTCGTTAATTTACAGGGGAAAAAAAGGTTAATATTTTAATGAGTTTTTATGAAACGCTTCTTTTTTGATTCTATTGGAAGAACAATGGTAGAATATAGCAATTGTAAGAGGTTCTTTACAGGAAATAGATGGCTAAACTAGAAGAGGAAAGAGGAATGCTGCCAGCCTGGCAAAAATGTGACAAAAAATCCGAATGAGAAACTTCATTGATGTATTAACTGGGTCAATTTGTTAATTTATAAAGCACTAACAGCGTTAGTTCATTACGACCCTAGGTGTTTTGTTCTCCAATGGTCATGTCTGGAAGCAACAGAGGCATTTTGGACTTGCAACAATGAGGAAAATAGGAGTAGGGAAGAAAGACCAGGAGTATCGCCTACAGGAGGAAGCCTGTCACCTGGTGGAGTACTTGCAGAAAATGAATGGTACGTGATTCAGCGTGCAGGTCGGTCATGCACAGGGTGGTTTTGCTGAAGGAGGGCTCACCTGTAGCTTTTGAAACTATTTGATTACAAAAAGGGAATTAAAGTGCCCATGCAAAGCTGATTTGCAAAGGTCTGAACAACATGATCTGCATGAGGCATTTCTGTGTAGAAGTGCTACACGTGAAACGCCACTGCGTGAACTTGGAGCCGGGACTCCACAGGCCCTGTCTGTGAGGGCTGTTAGTGATTTTTACAGTACTCGTGGTCACAGGATTGGGGTAACAGCAAACAGTAACAAAGTCAGTGTCACAACACCCCGTACTCCTCTGCAGCAAAGTAAAGCAAGGCACGAAATATTAAAAGCTGCACAGTCCTGTGGCTCTGCTTTGGCAAGTGTGTTGAAAAAAGCTCACCTCACATGGGTATTTTTTGACTGCTACTAATTCCATTCCCACCAGCAGTCTTACCTTTTTTAACAGTGTTTTTAAGAAGTCTGAAGTTTCTTTTTACTCATGTCCCTGACAAAGAAATTGCAATCTTCCATGCAGCAGTCTGATCAGTGTCTATAAAACGTGATCAGCTCCCCTTTCAGTGGGAAAAGCAGGAGCAGGAAGTGTCAATGGTGAACGCTGTGCACTGTGTTTACAGGAAAACCTCTGGACCCCACGATCTCTATTGTCCACACTGTCTCCAATGTGATTTGCGCTGTGATTTTTGGACACTGCTTCTCTAGAGACGATGAAAATTTTCACCGCTTGATTGAATGCATCGATACCATAATGGAATTTGGGAACAGCGTCTCTTTTTTTGTGAGGAAAATTTGTTTGTTTGTTTACTTTATATAGCTAGATAATGGAAAAGGCAACTTGCTTGTTACTTTTATAACTAAAATAAATACCATCAGCCATTTATGAAGGAGAACCACAACACTGTACATAGTCCAGAAGTTGATTTACCTATGTACAAAGCAGCCTGCAGGACTTGCTGGAACTCCTCTTTGTATCTCACATTATTTCCACCATCTCTCACTAACTGGAAACTGCTGTAGTCAAGGTCCTGGAGAATTTGAGGACTAATTTGATACTTTTGATTAAAAATATTAAAATAAAATGAAACTACTTACGATTTTTTTTCTTCCTGAAGATGCAGGTGGAACAATTCCTAAGCCATTTTAGCATCAGGGAAAAAACAGGATCAGATTTGACAAACTGCTCTCAGTAGTTGTTTGGAGAAGCTGTTCTTAAAGCCTCTTAACAGTGTGCCCACAGCTAACAAAAACATTTCAGTCCAGGGTTTCATTCTGCCCAGCTCTCCTCGGTGATGTGCAATCCTTTAATGATGCTCTCACTAATCTGCTATGCTGGTAAATGGACAGGTGGTTTTGAGCAAAATTACGCAGTAGGAAGAAGAGGAAATGCAAGCCAGGAATGCGAACAGGCTTGTGGGAAGAGAAATCTTTGTAATGCAGCTGCTATTTAAATAGGTGATACCAAAGAGTTATGACCTGATGCATAATGTAAGCTGCAGTAATTCTGGAAACTAAAAGGACGTGGTGCAATCTGTAAAAGGGGAAAAAAGAAAGGGAAGTTAAGTAGAGGAATGGAATTAATGTAAAAAGTGTTTAGTTTCTTTTTTGCTGAGACATGGTTTTGTAATGGCATAAGTGGAAAAGCGTGAATAGGTTTAGAGCAGTGAATAAGCAGTAGGGAATCCACACGGCTCAGGATTTCTACTTCATCAAGTTGTTTTGTGTATATCTGAGTAAAATCCCCATGTATTTGGTATCCCACAGTGAGAAAATAAACCTGGGTTTGGGTATTTCTGTTTTCAGTTAATGTCAAAGAAGTAAACCTGGATTATTTTTTAGTGATGAGGTAGAAATGATGCGTACATGGGATAAACTGAGAACGGGGGCAAGTTTTGTGAGGTCCTTGCTGCTAAAGTTCAGCCCAGCAAAGAATTGGGGTACAGAGGACCCTCATTTATCCTTTGTACATCACAATGGAAGATGTACAGCATAAAACTAAGAGAAATTGTGCTCCAGGGAAAAATGGGGTTTATAAGCACTTTAATGAATCACAGGATAGGCACTATCCCTTCAATGTAATGCCGAATATTAAGTTATCGGAGTCTTTAATTTGCTTTTTCCACTGCCCAGAAGCCTGTATTTGAATACAAATTCAGTTTGCTCATGTGAGTAATACCGCTTATCTCCAATATCTCTCATATAGGTATATGAAATGTGTCCCTGGCTTGCAGGCCGTTTCCTAGCATCATTTAAGCAGTATGTATCCAGCATAAATTTTGTGAGAGGTCTATTAGTGAAAGAACTTGAAAGCCACAGACTAAAAGGAAAACCAGAGGAAAATCAAGATTTTATTGATTACTATTTGGATGAGATAGATAAAGTGAGTATCTCTGAACTCTCCTTACACTCCACTAACACAGGATTTTAAGAGCTCCTTTGATTATAATGATGTCTAACCTAAATTTAGAAGTATATAATTTCTCCATAGAAAAGCTTATAGGCAGATGAATTAAAAAAAGCTGACACTAAGAGATGTCAGGAGGAGGATGACATAATAACGTCAGTAGATTTACAGGTAGATTATCTATAACCACAATAATGACAGATCTGCGTATGGTTAAGGTACAACTAGAAATGACTGCTTTGATGGGACTTGCAGCAGAAGTAGAAAGCATGTACAGCTGGTAATTTTGTCATGGCTGAAGAACAAGACCACATCTGGAATATTGTGTCCAATTCTGGGCCCCTTGGGTCAAGAAGGACAGGAACTGCTTGAAAGAGTCCAGTGCAGAGCCACAAAGATGATGGAGGGAATGAAGCATCTCCTGCTGAGGAGTGGCTGAGGGAGCTGGGGCTCTTTAGCTTGGAGCAGAGGAGACCGAGGGGTGACCTCATTAATGTTTATAAATTTGTAAAGGGCGAGTGTCAGGAGGAAGGAGCCAGGCTCTGCTCAGTGATGTCCAATGACAGGACAAGGGGCAATGGGAGCAAGCTGGAGCATAGGAGATTCAACATGAACACGAGGAAAAACTTTTTTACTGTGAGAGTTACAGAGCATGGCCCAGGCTGCCCAGAGAGGTTGTGGAGTCTCCTTCTCTGCAGACATTCAAAACCCGCCTGGATGTGTTCCTGTGTGACCTGGTCTGGTGATCCTGCTCTGGCAGGGGTTGGACTGGATGAGCTTTCGAGGTCCCTTCCAACTCCCAATATTCTGTGATTTGTGATATGTGGATAGGATAAATTGACAAATGTACTGGAGAATATTAGAAAACGTCTTCATATTATAGTTTTATTTTCTAGTCCTATAATTTTTGATTGGTTGGGTTTTTTGGGTTTTTGTTTGTTTGGTGGTTGTTTGGTTTTTTTCATTTTTTATAGTACCAGTAACTATTCCAGCGGTGAAAGGTGGTTTAATCCTTTGTTGTGTGGCATAACTTGACCTTTCCAATTCATATCTGCAGACTAAAGGAGATCCTGATGCCACTTATGATGAAGAAAACTTGATCCAGACCATTTTTGACCTCTTTCTGGCGGGTACAGAAACAACAGGCACCACTTTACGTTGGGCATTGCTCTATATGGTGGTTTATCCTGATATTCAAGGTAAGCACACCCTAACAGTTCTGCAACTTTTTAGAAATTAGGTATGTTCAGATAGTGGTCAACTTGGTCAAAGAGTAGTAGAGGAACTAATTATTAGGGAATTAATCAGCTGAACTGTGTGTATCTGTTTCTTGCTCTATCCTTTCTAACATAGAGGTTGGTCATTTTAGGTTTTGTTTTTAAGAGATCTATAGAGAATGCAGGGTGTGATCAATCTGATCAGATGGAGATGTCCGGTCTCAGAAGAGATAAATTGCAATAAATAATGATTATGTTTCCTCTGAGGACAAGGTGCAGTCCTCAGGTCATCCTTTTTAACCCATGACCCTTGATGTGCTTCTGGCTCCTGTGCAGCAGAAATCATTTCAGTGCAGTGGGAGGCTGCAAATATGTGGTTGCTCCCAGAAGCTTAAAACGTCAAACTTAGATGTCTACATAGAAATAGATACGAAATATTTATTCTATCTAAATAGATATGAAAAAAGATCAGGGTGAGTAGCTTGGAACTGTATACTTTTAGTAATGACATTCATAGAAGAAAGATATAGATTGGGAGAGGAAAAAAAGTTAAGAGTCAGAATATACATGATAGGATTAAAAAGTATACAAATCACTTCAAAAGGCCTCATATCTGAGTCTGAGCTGGGTAGCAGACACAGCAGGAGGTTGGTAAGAAGAAAATGGTGGAAGTGTTAAGGAGAAAGGATCTCCCACTGATGTTACCTGACAGATCCTCAAAAAACCCCAAATTCGAGACCGGATTGCACATACTGAATCCTTACCCTGTCAGGATGTATCGGAACAGTCTGAAGTAACCTGATGCATGGGGTCAATCTAATTGCAAGGATAGAGGCTGGAGTATTAATCAGACCATTTCAGCTCAGATTGTAAGTTAAAAAAAAAAAGTCATTGAGAAAAATTAATTTGTGTGAGTGCTTCTCAAGGCAGGTCGTTACAGAACAGCAATTGGGTCATCTCCAGATGACAAGCAAAATCTGTGTGAAGAGCAATTCCTGATCAGTTACTAAACTGATCTCTTAGTACAGTATAAATATTTCATTTTCCAGTTGATTCCCTGCCTGTAAAAAGAAATATGAATAGAAGTATTTTTATAAATTACCCCAGAGGTGTAAATGTAACAGGAATCTAAATATTCTTCTAGAACTACTTTGTCTGCTACTGTTATTTTTAAAGTATTACTTGGGTATGCAGCCTATAAACAACTTCAGTATCAAGTTTTATTCGGGTCATCTGTATGGGAATTTGAGGGCATTCTTATTTTATAAAATAGCTTTTTCATCTTGTTTGACGTTATTCTTACTGTTAAAAGCAATAGGAAAATTTATGAGGACAGAGTTTATAGATTGTTGTATATTTAAAGCTGAATATTCCTCCTTAGAGAAAGTCCAGAAGGAGCTGGATGCTGTTCTGGGCAGTTCCCATTTGATTTGCTACGAGGACAGGAAGTTACACGAACGCAGTCGTTCACGAGATCCAGCGATACAGCAACATCGTCCTGGTTGCGCTTCCTCGGCAGAGCGTGAAGGACACCGAGCTGCTGGGGTTTTCTATTCCAAAGGTACAGATATGCTGCGTAATTGAGCATCCGACATCTGCTGCTCCTGTAGCAGTTCTTAAAACTGATTTAATGCAACTTTCTAATGACTGAAGCCACCTAAGCCAAAGATTCCCAAAACACTGTCCCTTTCTAGTTTCTTTTGATTTAATTCTCATGTAACTGTGATTGAGAACTGCTGATTTTGGGAGGTCGCTGGTACGTTAGATGCATTTAGGAAGGCTTTGGAGGGTTTTGCTCTTGTGTCCTATTGGTTCTAGCAGTGCCCCTAAGCTGTGGCTGTCTCTAAGGCTGTCCTTCTGCAAGGCAATGTGCACTTTGTCCTAACTATCAGTTGGTTCTTAGATCATTGTTTCTGTTAACAGAAAACTTGTGAATGGTGACTGGAAATAATCACATTAATTTCCAGTAATCGAAGTCTGTCCCTTGTCAAAATGGCTTCTTGGCTGGTGAAGAGGCCCTCCCAAAATGGAAATAAGGTTTTACTGAAAACCTTGGAAATTTGAAATTATCCTCATATCACAAGCTTTTAAATGCAGTATCTTGCAAATGTTATAATGAAACAAAAGTATTTTTGGGTTTTGTAACTGCAAGGAATGTTAGGATTTGTTTCTAAATATTCTCCCATCACTGTTCTTCATGTAGTTTCATTTTCATGCCTTTTTTTGTGGACCTGCTCAAAGCAACTCCAACATAGCAGAAATTATCGAGCAACAAATGGAAAAATTAAACTGATACTCATGATATTCTGTAACACAAAAGCTGAAGAAGTAATAAATAATACTTAGTGACAGTAGGAAGAATAAAAAGAACACATTTTAACAATATGAACATTGTAAAATCCTAGCCATTCATTTTATTGAACTTATTGGCAGGAAGTAATAAAGGAAAAGAAGTCACAATATTCTCAAAAGCTTAAATTTATGAAATTCTTCACTCCATTGTCATTATTTGCTTCTCTGATGAGTCTGAACAATAAGACTGAACTGAAGTCACTGCTCCTTTTTTTCAGGACACCGTCATTTTAGCAAATATTGACTCTGTTCTGTCTGATCCTGGAAAATGGGAGACACCGGAGCAGTTCAACCCAGGCCACTTTTTGGATAAAGATGGGAACTTTGTGAGCAGAGAAGCGTTTTTACCGTTTTCGATAGGTACGTGTGCTGAGCGGGGATTTATCTCCTCCATGCGGTAACAATGTAAGATCCATTCGTTCCCCGACACAACTGGAAAATCCTCCACAGGCAGGTCTATAAACGCACTCCACTGTTTTAAAGATCTCCAGAAAGCCCAAAGGTATGTGGAAAAAGATTGGAAGAGCAGGTAATGGCAGTAGAAAAGTACCTCTTGAAAGACAGATCCAGTGTCTCCTGGAGGAGAAATCCAGTTATCAAAACAGCGGCAGCAGAGCGCGCAGTGCCAGGAAGGCTGTAAATGTAAACCGTGCAACCCTGGTGAGCGTTTCTGTGGTGTCTTCCTGCCTGCTGTAAAGAACCATTAAAACTTTGGTGGAAATATAAGCAGCCTTTCAGTTCTGAGTCACCGAATGACAAAGTCAGTTAAGAGCAAAGGACAAAACCTGCAGAAAACAGGCAACCAAAATCCCCAGGCAGGTTAGGAAGAGAGGTGTGACAGAAATCCCTTGGCTGATGGCCTGTTTTGGCTTTTCGCAGGGCGTCGTGCGTGTATGGGGGAGCTGTTGGCGAGGATGGAGCTCTTCATCATCTTTTCCACCCTGCTACAAGCGTTCACCTTCACCTTGCCAGAAGGAGTGACAGAAGTCAGTACAAAGTTTGTTTTTGGGACCACAATGAAGCCGCATCCCTACCAGCTCTGCGCTGTTCCTCGGTAGGAAGTGGTGCTCCGCAGATTTGGGGAAGCCTTACGCTGCGAGGTTGTTTCTGCGTGTGAATTCCTTTTTGTGTGTCTTAAGATTCTTGCTTTCCTCTTGATTTAGTTAATCACTGCCCTGAAAGGTGCTTTTCGGAGAGTTGCATCCTGATGATTGTACCTACAAAGAGAGAATATTTTGTTCTTGTTTTCTTGTTTGGAAAATCTTGGTAAAATTCTCCTGATGCATAACAAATAAAGACATTAAGGGAAGAATTAGAATTGGGCCTTATTTATTGCTAACTGGAAGAGGATCCTACAGAGAAAGGACTTGAAGCAAAGTCTACAAATTAAAATCTCATTATTAAAGATTTGTGTGTTCTTTCTCATAAGCCACAGTTGCATTTGTGGAGATAGGCTTAGTGGTCTTTCCATTTGCCCCAGGTTATTAGTGGGTGAAGAAGTTAAAAGAAGCTCTTGGGGGAAGCTTTCTAGAGAGGCAGATAACATGAGATAACATATCTGATAATGTGATAGGCAGATAATCTGAGATAACAGTCCCCTGGGCTGATCAGGTTTGTTGTTGTGCAAGTTTGTTGTATACAACTCTATCATTGACACCTGGCAAGACAGTTCAGGGTTTCACCCACTAAAACAGGGAGTATTTCAGTCCTTCAGATGGAAATGGAGCAGTGGCTTCATCAGCCAGGTGTGGAGAGCTTTTCGTAATACAGGCAAGGAGCAAGAGCTGGAAGACAAATGACAACAGGAAGCAGACACAAAGTGTTGATAAATTGTTCTTTTTTATGAGTCCACCGGTTGAGAGCAACATAAGAACATGTCTTTTTCATGGCAGGCCGTCTTCTGGTGGCGTTTGCTCCAGATCCTCCACTAATTTATTCAGCTTCATTTATTCTTGCAGTTCTTTGATGGGTTATTTATCACAGTTAGCTGACTTCACATCAGTCATAAATTAGCGTATCACGACCAACAGAAGATTTGGCACTACTGAAGAATTCTTGAGGCCCTTTATGAGAAAAGCGCTTAAGGACTTGGCAAAAGTGGATAACTAACATTTGGCTAGTTTTGTTACTGACAGTTAGCAAGGGATATCTTTTGACAGCATCGGGGGTACCTTCTTTCTGTAGGACGTACAAAGCTGGATTCTGTATGCCAACACGTGAATAACTGCTTACATACACTGATCAGATGGCAGTGCCGTCTACAGCACTGTCAATCAGCAGTATCAGTTTCAGGTACTTCTGCCTACCTTGCACGTTAAAGCACTCCAGTCTAACCAGCAGAGACGTGTGCAATTGGTAGCCTCATGCAGGATGAAACCTGGGTGGCCAGTTCCTCCTCCTCCAGGATCACCTTGATGGGCTGTGGATGATCACCTTCTTACTGCTGTGGGCTGGGCAGCAGCACGTCCAGACAGGTGGGAACCTGGTGTCAGATCACCTTGATGGGCTGTGGATGATCACCTTTTTACTGCTGTGGGCTGGGCAGCAGCATGTCCAGACAGGTGGGAACCTGGTGTCGAGTCCCCTCCACGCTGGAGCTGCAGACATCCCCTGGCTGTAGCTCCAAACCAGTAAGGGGATACTTCATTTGTATCCACAGGGATAGCAGGGGGAGAGGAAATGACAGCAGCAGTTCCTTGCCTTTAGCACCAAAGTTAAAAATCACTGATTCTAAAGAACAGCTGGTAGATAGCACTCACTCCAGAACCTCTGCCTCCCTTTCTCACAAGTGTGTCTCACCTTTCCAAAGCGTTCTGCTACCTTTACAGTCTGTACCACCTTTCCAACCTAACTAATTTCTTATTCAATTTTTTTTTTCCTCTTAATTTTTGTTCTCAAGTCAAGGCTGTCCCTTGACTGTTTTTCCACCAGAAGATGTTGTTCAGTTTGACAAGCTGGTAGAGAGAATAAAGTCATCTCCACTGTTCTAAGAAAACTGTTGCAAGTGGTTAAAAGTACAGTTTTGAGTCCAGGCTCTAGACAAGTTATTAGGGGTCATTTGAGAATGAATGAGATTTTTCTCTTCAGATTCTTTTTAATATGCCTTGGATGTTTGAGCCTTAAGGATCTGAGCAGATTGCAAATATTCCTAGATAAACTGGAATGTAATCCTGCAGTGTCACCTAATATGAGATAAAAACATACCTGCATACCCTTATGCTGTAGTAGCCCATGGTAAATGTCTGTTCATACTTTTTAGGGAAAACTACATGTACCAGATTAAATGCAAGCACTTCAGAGCATGGATTTCAGCTCTGAATATGCTTGCTGCTCTTGTGTAGTGGTTCCAAATGAAGCTCTGCTCCCCTTTTTGAAAGGCGAGGAGAGGGTGAAGTGCCTCCTTAAGGAGGAGAGTGTGAAATACCACTATTCCAGCTCTCTCAATCCCTTTTCTAGGGCTAAGAGACAAATCCAGGAAAGAAATAAGCTAAACTACAATTCTGGTTTTCCTGGGGCACTCCCTTTTGGTGCCACTTTCCTCTTTGTTTTTTTCTGGTGCCTGCTGAAGGAGTGAGCAGCCAACTGAGCATACTACAAAAAACAGGGTGGCTTCATCTTTCAGCCTTCAGGAACTGATGATCTTTGTAGAAGAGCACAGAGCAGAGAGGGACTAACAGCTTAAGGTGACCGCACACTCTGCTTTTCCTGTAAGTAATGTGAGTTTCTGAGAGGGGATGCAGTCCCCACCTAGATAGTAAAAAAAAAAAAAAGGTGCAGGACTGGTGTGGAGCAGACACATAAGAAGGTATTTGCCATCCTATTCCCCACAGATCACTCTACTTCCCTTTCCTTGCTTCTAACTCATCTTCAAAATCCACTTCAGGTGTTCTACCTTCACTCAGCTGTATTTGCCTTCACTCTTTGCCACAAAGGCTGGTGTGAAATAAGCTTTCAGAGGACCATGCACACGTTGTGTATGCTGTAGTGAATCCTGGTAGGGCTGGAGTACCTTGTGATAATTGCCGAACACATATGAAATTGGCTCATGTAATAAAAAGATCTCTTTACTGTTTGCCTTTGGAGGGAGCTCTAGCCAATTTCTTTGATCTCGGTAGAGAGCTGAACTCTGAACTAATTAAGAGAGGAATGTGGCCTTCTCCAGCTCTCTTGTAGGCCCCCTTCAGCTCCTGGAATTACTCAGTCCTTGTTTCTTGGTTTTCGGAATCTGAGCCCATGTTCCCTTCCACATCCCTGGTGTTAGATCAACCCCCTGCTGCTCTTCCTTCATCATTTAGAAAATCTGTCATGGTGGGAGGGTTTTGGCTGCATGCTGCAATGTCTGGATTCTGCTAAAAGGCTTGAAAAAATTCACTACTTAAAAATCATCACTGGGGATGAGTTACTGTGTTTAATACACATGGTCCAAGGAGCTATGCCATCCTAGAGAATTATCTGGGAAAAATTAAGTGGACCCCAGCGTTTCGGAGTTTCACACTTGAAGATCTGGCAGGAACAAAGTTAGCCCTGGAGAAACCGGAGATCTAAGATGGATATTGGAATTTAAACTGAATCTTTGGTGCCTGCCATAGAGGTATAATGTTAAAACATACATACATGTATATGTGGTTCCTCAGGAAGAGGGAGGCAGCACTGGGTAAAGAGGAGATACAGAGAAAGACCAGCTGAATCCAGAGGGAAAGCTGGTCTTTGACCAGCGTGAAGGAGGAATGTGGAGGGGCCAGGTGATGCGATGCCACTGGCTGCCTCATACTGTGGTAGGGAAGCCACTTTAGGAGCCCGCCAGCCTGGAAGGAAGTGAGCAGCAGGGAGAGCAACCGAGATGTCAGAGACAAATGTTGCAGAAAGATCTGGGAAAAAAACCCCTGGACTGCTGCCCAGAGACAACCTGAGGGGAAGGCGGGCTGCTGGCTTGCAAGGGAATTGTTTACGCAACTGTGCCATACAGCATTTTGGATGGAACTGCACACCTCTTTTCAGAGCAGCTTCCCACAAGGGCTGCCCTACATGGGATGGAGGAGGGCTGGGGCTGCGCGTGTGACTTCAAGCATGTTCCTTTTCTAGCATGGTGGTGATTGCAAGTGCTGATCTGCTTTCCCTTTAGCTCAATTTCCTGCTCTTTTATTTTTTTCCTGACTGCTCCTGCCCCTGTGATTCACTCCCATTTTAGATGGGGAAACAGGACATGACTGCTGCCAGGGCAGGGCCTCAGCATCGTGGAGGGAAGTGGAAAGCCAAAGTCTGGAAAAGACAGGAAATCTTCTCCTTCAAGAAAACACCACCAGAAAAAAGGGTTTAAAGCCACCTGAAGTAGCCAGAGCAAGAGAGGAGACATGGAACCCCATATCAGAGGAACTTGTTGGCAGAAATTATGCTGAAGAATAAGGAAGAGCCCCAGGCTGATGTTAAGACTGTGACAAAGGATGTGAGTGACTCTGACAAGGGACTGAAGGGACCAGTGGTATCTAAACACCTGGATCTGTGAGAAATAACTGATAATGTGAAAACTCAAGGCTGCAAGTCTAAAGAAAAGAGAGGTCCTGCTCCGAGGTTGCAGCCCTGGCAGTGATGAAGGCCCCAGGCCTTAACTTCCTCACTTCTCCATGAAAGATATCACTGGACAACAATGACTTTTCCTGCTG